TGTATATAAAAGTCCATTTAAAGGTAGATAGATAAATAGATAGATAAATAAATAAATATTGAACTACTAAGATTGTATGACTTTCTCAATTTTTTTCCAAGTTGGGATTTAGTTCTTAAACAATGAATTGAACCTAGACCATATGGAATCAGATATTTCTGGTCTTGCCTCTCCTTTGATATACAGCTAATTCAAAAGCTGAGAATTGATACTTTTCAGTAAAGCAACTTTAAAATTGGGAATATGCACATGCTTCAATGAGTGCATAATCACCTAACATTTTTTTCTATAAAATTGGATTATTCATATAAGAAACAAGGAAAGAGAAATATATAATCACTATCATGCTCACAATCAAACAGGTAATCTTTGAAAGGAGATTTGAAAGGAGGGAACAATATCAAATTGGTGATACTGTGATCCTTTTTTAATCAAAAAAATAATGCTGACCTTTCCAGACACAATGCTTAAGGTAGCAAACAACAATGAAGAAGAAGATCGTCCCTGATATATGCTAAACTAAATATCAGCGGTATACTGTATAACATCTAAGAGGAAGCAATAATAGCAACCATGTAGAAAATTAAGAATACCATATCAATTAAATTCTACTCAGGGACAAGCCTGAGTTTAACTTGTCAGTTTAAAAGCTTGCTGCAAGAGAGGGAAATCTGCCATCTGAAGCAAAGTGACAGCAGTGGGGTTAGGTGAGCTTTTCTGAACCTGAAAAGCAGCCTCTAAAAACACTCCTCCCTTGGTTCACACAGAGGAAATTAGATATTAGAGGAAACTGTGGGAAAAGTCATGCTGGAAAAAACAGTTCTTTAGACAGCCTGCTCTTAATATTTTTGTTGCTAAGGATCATAATCATCAGTTTGTGAACAGGGCTAGGGAACGAATTAGACGCCCATGCAGTTCTTGTAATGTTCTGAATTTCCAGCGTCATTAAGAGCCCGGCCAAAGTCAAAATGCATACCTCTAATAAAAAGACTTGCTCCATGTAGCACTGGCCCTTTAAAAAATATAATTCTGCAGCCTCAGAAGTACTAGGAAGCAATTTGTCAGAGCCAGTTAGCAGCACCAAACCCTCATTAAAACTGGACAGAGCATCCTGTAATAAAAAGGCAGTATTCTGTTAATTGATAGCGCCACCAGCCAAATGGCATTGTCCAGAGCCATTCCACTGTTCCATTATTCTTCCCAACTGAATCTTTTTCTATTAAGATAGGAGAAGCAGCATGTGACAAGGAGAGATTGCAAACAGAAGCCAACATTCAAAAAATTCTATGAATGATTACATAATAAAAGCTTATTTGGAAGTACTCCTACTTTTGAGGGTAGTCCTGCTCTCCTGTTCATAGTTGCTTAAGAGAAGAAATAATGTCGTCATCATCATCATCTTCACATTGATTCTGCACATTTTGTCAACAAAGTAAACATTTTCCAACCTGCCTTCTCTCTGTTATCTTTACTGTAAGTATAGTTAATATATTTATATTATCCATCAAAATTATTGCCTACTTAGTGCAAGCCATTTGTGTAATAGGGAGCTGCATTATTCCAGGCAATAATTGTCCACGATCTCAGGAGGATTTTTTTTTTCTTTTAACAGTGTGTGTCTCTTTAAACCAGGGTTCCCCAAAGTGGTCACTATCAACCCCAAAGGGTCAATGGGACTATCCATGGGGTCAATAGATGCCTGGGGGTCAAAAGGAGCTCAGTAAATGTCTGGGGCTCTATAGGTGTTTGATAAATGATGGAAGGTCAATTGGGGTCAATTAATCTTTTGGGGTCTCTGTAGAGTTCCATGCTAGTCCCTAGTCTTGAAAGACAGGTGGCTAGCAGTGAGACAGTGTTACCCAGGGTTGGATGGTCAACCGCTAGCAAGATTGGCCTTGAGTTTCTATCAGCTGTGTATTGTTACTGGCCTCATTTACCTGCATGCTTTATGTTGTATGTCTGTGTGCCTTCCACTCTCCCCCTTATCTCTCTCATCTCCCTGTCCCAGGAAAAATATATATATGTGTAGTATTCCTGTTCACCTCTCATACTGAGTGTATTCCCCAACCTTCCCAATCTCCAACCAAATATCAGTGCCCTTGTTGATGCTCATGAGATGCATCCTTCCCATTAACGATATCAACAGTTTCAGTAATAAAGGTATGTTAAACCTTATATTTTTCATATTTTAAATATTTCCTATTTTTATGAAGTCATTGTTATCATCGTTATTATTTGTTGTACTATTAGTTAAAGTAGTATTTATTAAATAATTTTCATATAATAAATATTTGGGGGTCGATGAACCATCTGAAACTTCATGAAGGGGTCAATGAGCTGAAGTGTTTGGGGACCCCTGCTTTAAACTAAAGAGTATTCATCTCCTGCAAAACATTTCTGATTGCTTGCTTTGCACAGTTCAAAGGAAGTATGGACTGAATTTTGCCCTAGTTGGATACTAGGGTTGGCATGCTCCAGGTCCCTTCCATCAAGCTATGCTATTTGATGGGACCCAGAAAGTATGCCTTCTCTGTTGTGGCACCTGCCCTGTGGAACAGCCTGGCCCCACATGATTCAGATGGTCCTGATCCTATTGACCTTTTGTAAGGTTCTGAAGACCTGGATGCTCTTTGGGCATTGGGGTAGAGTGTTGAATGAGCCCATCTGTAGGAAGCATAGTAGCATATTGGTTATTGTCCTCAGTTGCCAATTTGTTTTGCTATTTTGATCTGTATTGTAGGCTTTTTAGGATTGCTTTTGTTTGTACACCTCCCATAGTCACTTTGAGTTAGGCAGCTATACAAGTTGAGGAAATAAATAAATATCAGTGTCAGGGGAGGGAGAGAAAGGTTTCTTTCCCCTTTCCTGTGTGACGTCTCACATAGCTAAAGGTGAAGTGCCACCATTTTTCTGCTGCAGCAGAAAAAAAAGAGGAATAGGAAACTGGCAGGAGGCAATTAAAAGGGGAATTTTTCTCTTGCTTGGATGGATAGAGTTTGTACATTCATCCTGTGGTCCCCCACCATACACAGCAAGAGAGCAGGAAGGAACAGACAGGTGATTAATTATTTTCCAGTAGGGACGACCACTTGGTTTTTAGACATACTGTATAGATGAAACCAGAATTTTAAAAAACCTACTTAACTAAAAGGATGATGGCTTAATTAGCAAAGTGCTGTCTGCTAGGCATCGAAACAGAAAAATAAAATATTGGATATAGAGAATTAGAGCTGAAGAAGGAGGTAAATATTAATCAAATCCCATTTTAAAAAGTAGTATTTCTACCACACTCATTCTTTAGCGATTTGGCTTTTTAAAAAGTTTTTTTTTTTAAAAAAAAAACCCTAATAAATATGACTGTTTTCTTAACCTTGAATTTCCGGGCTTTCATCTGGATTTTTCCAAGAAGACTAAACATAGCAGGTTCAGGCTGATTTTTGGTGGCTGCAATTGCACACTCAATAGCCTTGTTATAGTTCTGACAAAATGACTGAACAAGTGCTTCTTGAACAAGTGAACATCCAAGAGATCCTGTAGCATATTTTGAAAAATAACAATAATAGATCAAGTTGTTATTACTGTACACTCTGGTATATAGAGAATGAGAGAGAAAGAGAAAGCTGTTCATAGATAGATAGATAGTTATATAGTTAAATATATTTATACATATTTAAAACATAAGCAACCTTAATATAAATGTTAATGATGTCAAAGAATCCCATTCACATTCTGTTTAATAAGAAGGTGCCTTATACAGTGTAAAATCACCCATCTATCTTACACCATATTGATTGTCAATGGTTCCCAAGGGTTTCAGATGGAATATTTCCTAGCCTCTAATAACCTGGGAAATTTTGCTGAGGAGCTTTTCTGTTTTAAATACTTCAAGTAGTTACTGGAAAAGCTGTCCATGGATAAATCTCATACAAGGCTTATAAGAAACAAGATTTAAAGATGCAAAAGTATTACCTGGTTATGGATTTTTAAAAATTATTATTATTATTTATATTTTATTAATCGATAATAGAGTCCAAAGCATAACAAAAAGAATTGCAGCTCTGAGTCGTGTTCTTCAGAAATTCAAATTCTAGCCAGGAATGCAGAATTATCTAGGTAACCTAGATAAAATTATTGATGCCATGTCCCAGATGACTAGTTTCCAGATATACTTCCATGTTTGGAAATTGATTGAAGCAACAAATTCGGAAGCAAACAGTAAATAGTGAAGTGATTTTGAATCCTCTCCAGTCCCCCACTTGTTTTCACAGTTGTTCAATAACTACTCAGATAATCAGATCTGGATTCTCCATTAGCTTCATATTTTGCATGAATAACTCACGTATTTCTCTATCACATCAAGCCTTTCCATTCATGGTGGAAAGTAGATCTATACAAACCTTTTGATCATGATCAGTGGCATCTGCAGGAGGTTATGGCTTTTAACAGAGTGACAAAAGCAGTGTCGTGCCCCAAGTTCTGCCCCTTTTGTAGGTGCACGTGTACAAAACGGATGGGGTTTGCATCACCATGCTGCAATGCTACTTTCATCATTCTGATCCCCATTGCCCCCACCTGCAGATGCTGCTGACTATGACTGTGACACTATTTGTGTTTTAGGCAACATTCATACGTTTTCTATTATATCTATTGACACACTGTGCATCATTGTAGACAAATTACAGGCACATACTGTACAATCAGCCTTACTAGGTAGACCAGACAGGAAACAAGACCAGATAAACTAGTTCTACTTTATTGTAAGGTTACCTTAACAGAATCTTGCAGGTCTGAAAGTATTTCCCTCCCCAATTCCCCTTTACAGCTCACAGAACCAGGGAGGGTCTCTTCTGCCTTGCCCATGTTCCTGCTGAGAGTTAAGCCACTTTTCGTCTGACTGTTTCCTTGGCTGCGTCTCATTGCACTGTCTCCCAAGGTCATTCCCACATACCATTAAACATACATCCTATATGTATCACATGCACAATAGTCCTGCAAACTACTACATGAACCACATATTAGCAGTACACTCTTTCAACGATCAGTTTTTATTTCCATGTAAATGTGCTTAAGACCATGGACAGAGTATCAAAACAAATGAATGGGACATCAATTATAGCACTAACATCATCTTGTATTTTAGATGGTGTCCTTAATCTGTGATTGTTGGGTAGGATCCAGAGAATTGCAGTACTTGAAGCACGTGTTACTTCTATAGCTGCTCATGATATCTCAAAAAATTATAATCAGTTATGGGGATCTAATATGCAAAAACAAAAGCAAGGAAAAAATCTGATCAAAGTTGCACAGTACTTTGAAAGAGCTGTACCTTTGTCCATTTCTGCCACTTGGTATATACAGAAACTTGCAAGTTGAAATTTTTTCATTTGTAGTAAATACTGTCCCCTGTAATAAAATATTTTAACAGAGACAAATTCCTCAGAATATTTTAATAACCTATTAAAACATATCTTAATAAGAGACATTCCAAAGTTCAATTATTCTGTTTAATCCTCTATTGTTTTCAAAAGGGAAGCCTAAGTTTTAAATAACTGAATCCTGGGATCTCACCACATTCTTTTTGAAGGCCTAACTCAAAAGGAGAAAAAGTTCTGTACTAAGCCTACAATCATGGACAGCATTCCTAATTACTAATATTTATTAATTCACTAATTTACCATTAGTTTATTTACTAATTTTCTATTTTAATAGTAAGTTATTTTAATTTACTATTAGTATTATTTACTAATTACTAATATTTCTATGACACCTAAGAATTGAGCACTTTCATAAGGAGACAATCACTTTTTGAAGTCCCACAATCTACTCATTGAGCCAGATGGCCTGTAATATTTGGGGACCCATCAGGAAATTGCATAAAGAAAGACATGAGGGGCAACCAGGTTTTCCATCTTTGGCCCTCCCTGTCCCTATCATACACTGAAAATATGTTCTGAAAATGAAAAAAAAATATTGAACCTAAGACTTACTAATACATATTATAATTATATGGACATGCAAAAGTAGGAAAACAAAATGAAGCAAGATGCTGGAGAAATGCACCACGAAGTTACAGTTCTGCTGTTGACAGTTATCATGATAAATGCTTACCTTGTTAAGCATAAATGGGGTATGTTGGGATAGAGATGAATGGCTCTGTTTATATCTTTAACTGAACTCCTTAAATCATGAACCTGTTTAAAACAAAAAAAAGACAACCATTTTTATTTCTCAGGCATGGATACTGATATGACATTAAGTACACTCTGTTTAAAAACAAATATTTCTTTCCTTTTTCAACATTTAGGATCAAACTATATACTTTTTTCTTTTCTTTGGTGTTTTCAAGTCAGTCTTGGCTCTTGGCAACTGCCTAGACTAGTCCCTGAAGTTTTCTTGGCAACGTTTTCAAAGTCATTTCCCATTGCCTCCTTCCTAGGGCTGAAAGAGAGTGACTGGCCCAAAGTCACCCAGCTGATTTTATGCCTAAGGCAGGACTAGAGCTCACAGATTCTCCCTTTCTAGCCTGGTGCCTTAATTACTACACCAAACTGGCTCTCTTCAAACTACATGAAACATTAAAATCTCTCTTGCCTAAAACTGTGGCTGTTCAGTTTCCCATTCTCCCTTAGTATGTGGTTGATTACATCACTGATCTGATACTACAATGCCATGCACCCATCAGTGATATAATTTCTACAGCAGAGATTAGGAAACCAGAATATTGTGACAAAACCTGGATGACTAAGAAGCAATATGATGGTGAGAGAGAAACAGGAGGCTGTTTTCAGTGACACAATGTTTTAGTAATGGTGTGCAGAGGAGGAAAAAAAAAAAAAGTAGAGGATCTAGTCTGGATAAGTTCGTCACTCAGGGATGGAGAAAAGATTGGCTTGGATTACTTGTAGATCCCTCATCAGCATCAATGTCTGATAACAAAATGTCCTCCCCCTCCTTCTGTAGGAAATTATACTGTTGAAATGAAAGTTTGAAATAACAAGAAGTGAATATTTATATTAATGGGGCTGCAAGTTCCATTTGGTTTTGATTCTCAAGTCAAATTAAATTCACAGGCTGAGAATCTTTAATTCAAAACATGTATCTGTTTTGCCAGGCTGCAGCTCAGTGGATCTCAGAATTCTAATAAAACGTCAGTCTATCTACCTGTAATGTAATGTAATGTAATGTAAAGTCAGTCTATCTACCTGTCCTACTTTATCTAAATAACAGGATTCTTAGAAGCTTCCTAAAGTAGTCCTCTTACAGAGGACTTTTGCGTTCATTCATTGTTTATCTTATACCTACTTCTATGTTTGCACATGATACGTTCATATCAATCTTTTTTGTCAATGGTATTGGAACTGTTTAGTCAAATGATAAGTTCAGTGTAACTAGGAGGTAGCAATGTAGTTGGGAAAATGAAGAAACTACTGCAAACTGGTAGGGGTTTTCCATAAGAAGCAAGGAAATAATTTGGCTGCTAGGATTCTGGTGCCCAGGTTTGCAATTAGACAAAGACCGAACAGAGGAAGCAAGGCATATAGGAAACCAGAGGAAATTGTTAAAGAGATCATGGAATATGATCAACAGGTTCTTGGAGAGTATTTGGAATCGAAGCTGAATGCAGCCGCCTATCTTTTTATAAGAAGACTGAAGGCCTGGACCATCTCAATTATACAGTTTTCAAACTAGAAGAGTCCACCAACAATTCAGAAGGACAAAAACTCTGAATCAAACATCTCTCACCATTCCCATGGCAAACAGGCAGGCAAAGAGCTGTTTAGGAATAAATATCTATAATTAAAATTCTTAAATACATAAAATAGATACCCTTTGGTAAGCTTGCGCCCTACACAAGTATGGTCTAATATCTAATGGATCAACCTGAATGGCCTCAGTGAACTGTCGAATAGCATCAAAATACTGATCCATGTGCAACATCATAATCAATCCAATGTTTACATAAGCTGTTTTGAGAGTCCTAAAACAGATAAAATTGTATAAATATTATATTTTGCAGCATGTCATTTCATAGTATTTACTGTCTTCAAGCACTGATATGTAGTTTTACAAAGTGTTTCCATGACAAAAACCACACTCCCTCCCTTCATTTTCACCCTTCTTCCTGAAGTACAAGGAGAGCTTCAAGATGCCTTTTACAGCAAGACATTTCACAACCAGCTTTGAAAATAGTTCAGAAACTGCAACGATGGGCTGTTTCTTTGTACCCAGAGGGTAACGGATGGGACCATATCGTACAATTTTGAAGATCCTGTATTGCTTAACAGCTACTTACTAGGCTCTGTTTAAGACATCAGTGCTATCCCATATTCAATCCATTTTTAAATATTAACAACAACAACAACATCAACAAAGTTGCCTTTATAGTGTCCTTTTCCAATTTCTAATTAGGGCTCTGATAGCCTAGGCAGGTTCAAAGGAATGATGCCCTTTTTTCTCAGTTCCTCCTATCTAGCCACTTCAGTACCTCCTAACAAACACAATCAGTAGCAATGTCTAGTAGTGAAGAAGTGATCCATATGACAGGTCTGTATATGCCAACAGCACAAACTGATTCTTGATAGATTGAGACTACTTGAGAAAAAGTTCATAATCAAAGGGGTATTACTAGAGAATGGATGGCACTATTTGCAGTAGAAAATATTCCTGCCGTGTTAGAAGTGAAATGGTTGCCCTACTTTCTGGTTAGGCACATACCTGATAAAATAGAAAAGAATATAAGACTGTCATTTTATATGGTTACCGTAACAATAATAATCTATAATTTCAGAACTTAAAAGTGATAGTATGTTAGAGGGTGCTACCTGGTTATCTCATTTTAAATTTTAGAACGTAGGAAAAAACTGCTTAATTTTTCTGGTGGGAGTTTGTGAAAGTTATTCAGTGCCTTAAATTATTATGGGATATGTTGTTTTTGCAACTGGTTTGTATGACTAAATGCTAATTTAAAGAGTGAGCAATTAAGAGAAGTGAGCAAGCAAGTAAAGAATACCTGTCCAAAGCAAGTGCACTTTGAAAATCATAGATGGCCAGGATCCACTGTTTCAGTTCTGTGTACAAGATTCCACGGTGAAGGTAAGCCCCAAGATTGTCATATTTGTGATTGAGAAGGACTGGAAGAGAAGAAGAACACTCTAAATATTCATCTGTTTAATATATCTTTGGGTCTAAGGGAACCTCTTTTTAATAAGTTAATTGGGAGGAGGCATTCCTTTATTGGCAAGTCCCATCAATTGAAGAATACATCACGAAGTCAACTTTACATCATGTGTGTGACATCATCACACAAATGATGTCATTTGCATTGTGCATCACACAGATGACAAAAATGCTGTCAATTGCATCACAAAGTTGTTAAGTAAAAGAAGTAAAGCATAGCAGAATTTAGTCTGTTATGTGCAAAGTCCACTGCATCAAGGTTTGATAAACTGAAGTTTCACTTGTCTGTTTTAATCATATGCGTCAAGTTAATTTGCTCTTCACTGATCTGGTGGAAGCTTTAAGACCTTTTATAATGTTGAATTTGAGTTAATTTGAGTTTTGGAAAAAAATTAATAATTTTGATAGGAAAGGGGGGGAAATGAGGTTTTTCTATTTACAAGAAACGTGATCATATTAATATGAAGTCCCAATTATAGAATATCTCACCAATATTTGAAGCAGAATCTGGTAACATCTAAAAGTGTCCTTGTATCTCTGTGCATGCATGTGTGCATGTTAGGAAGGTGAAAGAAAGCTTCACAAACTTGTGAAAAATGAAATATCCTGACATACCCAAGTGGTCACCACTATGGCAGCAAACAGGTTTTTGGCCTTATATAAACCAATCTTTATTGGATATGTTCATGTAAAATAGTTCCGTTTAGGAAATTTAGAAATTTCATATCAACTTTTGTATCTGTGCCTTCAAGTCAGGGTTGACTCCTGGCTACCATCTGGAAAAGTCCCTGCAGTTTTCTTGGCAAGATTTCAGAAGTGGTTTGCCATTACCTTCTTCCTTAGGGCTTAGAGAGAGTGACTGGCCCAAGGTCACCCAGCTGGCTTTGTGCCAAGGCGGGACTAAAACTCCCAGTCTCCCAGTTTCTAGCCTGGTGCTTTAACCACTACACCAAACTGACTCTCATATCAACTATTAAGATATGTGAAAATTGCATACCAACTCAGTGTATATTTGGGACAACTGCATAGAGAATGATATATGTTAGTGTTACTTATATTTAAATAAATAATATGTGGGGTCTTGTGAAGAAACCGACAGGAGTAATTAGATATAAAAGATATAGATAATTGGAAGTTTTGTAATTTCAGTTCAAAACTGCATATAAAAACTACATATATTATGGAAACATTTTATGTTCAAAATGCATACAATACTTTTTCCACAATTTTTAGAAAACAGTTCACAGAAACAAAAAAAATCTCTTTTCATAAATGCAATTAGTATTTTCATGAAAATCAAAGTAGTAATACCAGAAACACTTAAGTCCTGTAGGGATTGTTTTTGATCAATTTTCCTCAAAATGCAACCTCTGTGGTAGAATGCAACCCAGTTGCGGGGGTTTAAATGAATTCCAGCAGATAAATCTTCAACTGCATTTTTATATTGCTTTTGCTTAATGTATGTTCTTCCTCTATAGGTTCTAGAAAGAAAGTTCACAAGCACATTTCTGTGATATTTGCAATATTCCATATTTATACCTTTGGTATTTAGATATATAAAAGTCCTTACTTGATCCAAATGTATTTAAAGTAACTTAGTGTGTAAAAATAGACACACTTGTTTCTAATTTCCAGTTGCATCATTATTTCCAAGTGAACATGCTTGAAATTTTAAAAAGCTAACAGTATTTTAACAAGTATCTGATCTGACAAACTGACTATATTTCTGGAAGAATGAAATTTTGTATATAACCTGAAAAGCTAGTAGAAACATTTTTCCGAGAAGCTTCTTATATAATTTAGGTGTAAAGGAAACAACAGCTGTCCCAGTCACTTCCAGGAATGCAAATATATTGATATACTTCAAACTGATATTTTATACTTCCAGGTCATCATATAAGTTTAACCATAATAGATAATTGTGGGTTCAAGCTTTAATTCGAGACATTGCATGATGTGCGCCTCATGTCATTCCCATACTCACATGCTCTACAAAATTCTCCCTACTTAACTACATATATCTGATCCAAAAACATAGGAAGATCTCTACAATTCATTTTTGGTCTGCCATTTACAGTCCATTGCATTTCTCTCAACAGGCTAGAATTGTGCCTATTCCATGTTCTCTTTTGGGAAGTGTTAACGTATTCCAAATATTCCAGCAAATGCATCACTTCTTCAGAGTGCTGTTCCACAAAGTGGTAATTTGCTTAGCACATTAGCTGTGCCATGTTTTCAGGCTTCCATCTTGATGAGAATAGCTTCTTCTTCCTTAAATCCCACCAAAGATTTATGATCTAGTTAGGTTCTTCCCCCCCCCCCCAAAAAGAAATATTCCCAACTGATTTTTTAATGTCCAGGAAGGATATTCAATAGGTTTTCTTCTTAAGAGTTCATTTTGTAGATAACACAGCTCCTACTCCATTGAATAAAGTAGTACAGGACAAGATTAATTTATTCTTGGCTTCAAAATAGACCAAAAATTCAGAGGACTGAGGTAGAATTTTAGATGATTGAGAAGCTTTTTCGGAACTTTCTCCTCACCTTATTTATTTGTTTGTTTGTTTGTTTATCTTTCTTTCTTTCTTTCTTTCTTTCTTTCTTTCTTTCTTTCTTTCTTTCTTTCT